AGCTTCTGGTTCAGACTCTGCTGCTGGATGGTCGGAGGCACAGGAGTGGCTTTGCAAAAGTGTGGAGATGGCATGAGCCACTGGTCCCCAGCTTTTACTGCCTTCCAATTCTTCCTCCTCCTGACTTTGAACCTCCTTCTGAAAGACTGTTTTCTTTACAGCAAACTTGTGCTTTCTGCTCAGGCAGTAGCCTTCCTTCTATCCATCAATCCACCTGTCCATCCTCCCATCCATCCACCCATCCATCCTCCCATCCATCCATCCATCCACATGTCTTTCTGACCATCCACCCACCCATCCATTCATCCTTCGTTCCTTCCTTCCTTCCATCCATCCATCCATCCATCCACGTGTCTTTCTGTCCATCCATCCATCCATCCATCCATCCATCCATCCATCCATCCATCCTTCCTTCCTTCCATCCATCCATCCACCCATCCACCTATCCATCCTCCCATCCAACCATCCATGTGTTTTTCTGTCCATCCATCCACCCACCCATCCATTCATCTATTCACCGACCAGCACTCACTCCTCCCCATTAACCCCAGGATAAGTCTCAGGTACCTGGGGCACCAAGCTGGGGTGGTTTTGTACTAAGGGATAGAAGGCCTGTACTCCAACTCGGTTCAGCTCTGAGGACACTTACCATCTCACAGTCCCAGAGCTCACTCCAGAGAAGGTGGATCTGCTCATTCTCACCCTGGGTTCACTTTTCCTTTGGCCTAGGAAGGAAAGCAAGTGATGTCATGGCTCCCTTGTGTGAACTATGATATCAGAGACAGGGCTGCTGGGATTGGCCTCCAAGCTCCTTTCTCCACTCCTGCTCTGCATTCACGACTCAGGGGCCTCCTCAGCATGTTGTCGAAGGGATGTGAGCTCTCAGTCCCACATTTAGCCAGGGGCATCGTGAGGAAGTGATGTGGGCATGCCAATGGACGTTAGCCAGACCTCTGCTTTGGCCACTTGTACCCTCCTGCCCCAGTATCTGACACACGTGGGCTTTGTCTGTCCATACACAGGCCACATGTGATGCCAGGTTCACTTCCTGCGGAGTTTGCGGTGACCTTGTCCCTGAGGGGCAGCCAGAGGTATTTGGAGAGCTCCTGCCTGCTGGGCCAGGCCTCAGCCTGCCAGACACAGCCAGTGGCAGGGCCAGGAGGTCTCCAGCTGGCTTCCCTGCAAGGTGGCCCAGAGGTGCCTGTGAGCAGCTGGGTGTTCCAGGAGCAGGGAGTGTGTGCCACGGCATGTGGGGGTAGAGAGGGCAGGCACAAGAAGAAGGCCATTAGGGTGGGGACGTAGAACAGTTCAGATTCTTGCAGAGATGAGAGCAAGGAAGGGGTACAGTGTAAGAACCCAGAGCCAGGAGAAGACAGTGGCTGGGGCTGGGGTGGGGAGCAGGTGGCACTCTGGGAAGATGACAGATGTGGGTGGGAGCAGGTAGGCTGGCCTTCTGCCCACTGGCCCCCGTGCCCCACTGTCTGCAGAATTCCCACTGCAGGAGGCTCTGCCACCTTCCTCTCCCTTCTGTTCCCCCAAGCTGAGGTCTGCACTAGACAGTCCCTCCAGACGGGCCCCAGCCTCAGGAAGTGTGTGTTATCCCACAGTGGTGGTCCTGGAGCAGGTAACCGGATCCCAGTGCTGGCAGACTCAGGCCTGGTGGTGCTTGGGTGCCATGAGGCACATCACGTGAGTAGCACATCACGTGGGGTTTATGCTTGCAGCAGTCAAGGCCTTAGAAATGTCATGAACCCCTCTGGTCTTTGGAATTTGGAATTCAGCGTGTTGTAAACAACTCTCTCTTTTTAAAATGTTCTTCCTTTTAAAAAGATCATTCAAAAAGAAGAAGGGAGAGAGAATATGAGCGAGAGTAAGAGAGAGAAAAACCTTCCATCCCTTGCTTCACTCCCCAAATGCCTGCAGCAGCCAGCTCTGGCCCAGGCTGAAGCCAGGAGCTCCATCTGTTTCTTCTCTATGGGCGCAGGGACCCAAGCACTTGGGCCATCTTCTGCTTCTTTTTGCAGGAAAGCTGAATCTGATGTAGAGCAGCTGGGACTTGAACTGGTGCCCACCTGGGGTGTTGGCATGGCAAGGGGTGGCATGGGGTGTTGGCATGGTAGTTTAACCAGAGCCTCTGCTGCTATGCTCTGTGCTGGCTCTCTGGCCTGGCTGACAGACGAGATGGTCATGGTAGAATGCCTCCTGCCAGGCAGGGCCAGGGGTGAGCAGAGGGCTCCCTGTGTGTCCTGCGATCCTTTGCCCATCTTTGTGGGGCTTCGGTTTTGCAGAATCTACTCTTACAATCACCTCAGCCACGTTTGAGTCCCAAAGAGGGAGTCCCAGCAACCACTGGCCTCACTTCTGGAAAGAACTGAGCTCCTTGGAGATGAACTACAGGGTGCGCTCTGCCCTCAGCCAGGCCTGCGTTTCCTTGTAGCCATTTTGCAGGTGTGCAAGCTGAGGCATGGAAATGTTGACTCACTCACCTCTTTGACCCAGCAAAACCACAGGAGGGTGAGAATAGGAACTGCAAGTCCCATTGTGGTTGATTAGGTTTCACCCCCTTTCTGCAAACCAGCAGCTGGGGAAGAGGCCCCGAGGAGCCCCCAGGCTCCACTGCGAGGCCCAGTGTGTTTTACTAAACAGAGGACGAGTCAGCAATCAATATCTCTCCTGCAAGGCCTGAGAACTTAGCACAATTGGCTGCTTCCCAGCCTGGCTGAGTCAGCAGGAAGTTAGCCAACGTGCAAAAAACCTTGTATCAGTGGTCTTGGTGTGTTGATGTTTCTTAACACACGGGGCCGGCAAACCTCAAGGCCAAACAACATATGTGAAGGAACCACTTTCGTGGGTGCTTGACCCTGGGGTGCTGCAGAGCTGCAGCCAGGGACTGAGGGGGGCCCTGAGGAGGTGGGGCATTGTCACAACGAAGCCCTTGTGCCCTACAGTGTCCCTACGGATAGGATCAAATCGTGGCTATCACTTGGCGAGGTTAGGGCTCTGTGGTTTTCTAAGCGCACAGGAGCATGGACAGCTTGGATCTACTTATTTATTTGGAAAATACATGTGTCATTTATTTAAAATGCAGAGAGAAGGAGACAGAGCTCTCCATCCGCTGGCTTACTCCCCAAACACCCACACACAGCCAGGCCAGAGCCGGGAGCCACAGCTCAATCCAGGTCTTCAGTGTGAGCTGGCAGGGCCCCACGTCCCAGACCCATCACCTGCTGCCGCCGAGGAACACTTTAACAGGAAGTTGGAGTCAGGAGCGTGAGTTGGGACTTGAACCAGGCTCTTTGATTCGTGATGCGGATGTTCCAAGCAGAGGCTTCATTGCTAGACGCAGTGGCTGCCCCTGAACTTGGATTTCGATCCTTCTGTGTCAGCCACGACTGGAGCCGAGAGTCCCATTTCTCAGCCTACTGTGTTGTTTGGAAAACATGGCATTCAGATTTCCTCTAGGAGTCTTTTGGAGGCGGGAGCCAGGCCCAGAGGGGTGTCTGTCGGGAAGTCCCAGGGGTATGGCAGCTGGGAGCGATTACGCAGCCACTGTGACCCTGTGACCGCAGCACCTGGGCTGGGTGGGGGTGGGCTGCTGTGAGACCTGGTTTATTTGGGCTCTACGCTTTCATGTGTCCCACAGGCGGTCTGTGTGGAGTTTGCTGGAGAGGATGGCTCTGTGGGTCCCCACACCAGATGAACACTTCCAGGAAGGATCATACAAGTGGGTTTGTAGTCGACTATCTGATTCCTCGACTGTCAACTGAACTGAAAGAAAAATTCAGTCTTGTTGCCATGACTTGCACTGGGCTGGATCGCAGCCTGAGTGAGGACAGGAAGCTGAGGTCCCTGTCTCATCGTTGGTGGCTGCTGAAGGGACACCAGAGCTCCATTGGGGATGAATCCTAAAGGAACCAGCAGCTTGGCTGTGCAGTGGCATAGGGTGTTCGCCCCAGAGCTGGTTTCAAAGGTTTCCCACCTGGAAGGCGTGGGGTGAGTGCTGGACACCCCAGCATGGGGGTGGCAGCAGCAATGGACCACTTGGCATCATTCCAGCACCCCCACGTTTCCAGGGAGAGTGATCCTGGTCCCGAGATAAAGATGAACCTGTGAAAGGCATGCTGTGAGCATCCAGACATCTGTCTTCTGGAATCTCTGATGTGTGTGGCCACTCCCAGGGAGGGGCCTCCAAACCAAATTAGAGCAAAGGACCTCAGGGTGTCAACTGCTCCTCCGTGCCTGCGTGGGGAGATCCTGGGACTGGGGACCCTCTCTTTGGCCAGGTTCTCACGGATACAGGAGCAGCATGCGCCCGCTGAGCTGGCTTCTCCACGTCCTGGTCAGGTGTGGCTCCTGGCGCTCAGCTGTCTGGGTCTTTTCAGCTGGTGGGCTCTGGGGGTGAGAGCTGGGCAGATCCTGCGGGCTTCCAAGTGGCAGCCCTGGAGCCTGCTCAGCAAGTGAAGAAGTGGAGTGAGCTAGCTAGGTGGATGGGAACAGATGCTGGGTTTTAAGCAGCCTCTGGAGTGGTTGTTATTATAGGGTAACCTGACAGGGCCATAAGTCAGCTGGGTCCTGGCAAATGTCACTCTGAGGTGTGTCTGTGAGGTGTCTTTGGGGGAGAATAGCATTTGAATCAGGAGATTGAGTCACACAGAGCATGCATCCCCGTGTGGGTGGGGCCCTCTGATGCTTTGAGAGTCAGAGCAAATGGCCAAGGGAGGGAATTCTCTCTCTCCCCCCCCCCCCTCTCATCTCCATCTGTACCCTGACTCTGTCTCTTCTGCCTGGCTGCCCTCCAGCAGGCACATCGTCTCCTGCTTTTGGAGCTGGGCTTGGGGCTTGGACCCAGGCCCATTCCACTGGCCCTCCTGGGTCCAAATTTCTGTCTCCATAGCCACTCCAGGTGATTCCTTGCCAAGCACCCACCCATGCATGCACATTTCCGGGGAATTCTGGCCATTCACACTCGACACTTGTGACATGCCTGTGAAACTTGGCAGATGGAATGCAGGTTGCTAGTCAGGGGACCTTGAGGGACACGATCCTGACTTTTCCCAGCTGGGATGGAGCAAGGACAGGTCAGTGGAGGGCAAGGGCCGCGGTCCAAGGCTGAGAGGACCCAGGTGCAAACTTCTCTGGGCCTGTGGATTGTGGGTGGGTGGTGATGCTTGCTGAAAGTCAGATTTCCAGGCACCACCCTCTACTATCTGATCCCTGCTTCCAGCCTAAATTCATCAAAACAGAATCTTTTAGTAGGGACTTGGAAATTTGCATTTAAAAAAATTCCTCAGTGTTTTTCCAGGCTTGGTAGGAGGATGGTTGTTAACTGGAGCTGGGGCCCTCACAGGGCTGGGGCTGTGGGATGGAGCAGGCCTGGGGCTGTGGGATGGAGCAGGCCTGGGGCTGTGGGATGGAGCAGGCCTGGGGCTGTGGGATGGAGCAGGCCTGGGCTGTGGAATGGAGCAGGCCTGGGGCTGTGGGATGGAGCAGGCCTGGGGCTGTGGGATGGAGCAGGCCTGGGCTGTGGGATGGAGCAGGCCTGGGCTGTGGGATGGAGCAGGCCTGGGGCTGTGGAATGGAGCAGGCCTGGGCTGTGGGATGGAGCAGGCCTGGGCTGTGGGATGGAGCAGGCCTGGGCTGGACCCAGAAGGGAGGAAGTAAATTGCATGACTGGCATGTGCCCTTCCTCGCGGCTGTCATCCTTGCCAGCACGGCTTTGTGACATCTGACTGCGTGGAAGCTTGAATCAGAATGGGATGCACTGAGAAGGCTCAGGTATTGCACATCTAGGACTAAAGTTACGGAGCCACCAGCTCATTTAGCTGTGGGGTGGGTTGCAGCGAGTGGAAATGCTACCAGCTGTAAGCTTCGCCTTATTGGCAAAAGGTCTGCAGCTTAAAACAGCCAGTCAACAGGCACTGTCCTTTAATATCCGGTAGCAACAGCCTCGGGAGGGGTAACTGAGGTTTGGTCTCTTTTATCACCCACTGATTCGTTCGCTCCTGGTTTCAGAGACTGTCGCAGAAGCAGGTGCATCCTTCTGCACTTTCAGGAACCCTGTTAGATCAGCTAGCGTTCAAGCGTGCATGAGCTGGACGTTTACTTACAACCTGGCACCACGCAACTGTCCACTGAAGATTTCAACGCAGAACCCCGGTCCCAGCCTCGAGGAGCAGCTGGCTGTTTTTCTCCAAACTCTGGTAGATGGTATAGACTGGAGGTAGGAAATTTTCACATGGACCCAAGATTTCATGTCGATTTGTGATGGATTAGCATTCCAAAATTGCTTCAGGTGCACTTAGTGGATGCATTACTGTAGAAGGGATCCGCCTAAGCAGAGTATTTCTGAATTTATGCAATTGAAATACTCTTCAAGTTTCCAAGCAGTCTAAATCTGTCAGTCATGGGGTGGGAACAGGTCGGTGCTGGTGGCAGAGGTGCTGGAAACAACAGTGTCTAGGCCTCGCTGGCACTCAGGCACAGCCTTTCCCAGTGGCAGAAGCAGAGCCTGGATCTTCTGAGCGCTCCTAGCCTCCTGCACAAATGGGTGAATGAATGCCTGCAGGCTGCAGGCAGGCCCTGGTCTTCTCACTCTCTGATATAGCCTTCACTTGTCTTCCATGGTATCTTAATTACAGGCACATTTGTTCACTGAATCAATGAGTCCATTAGCAAACACCATGTGATGCTCATCGTGACATGATTTTCAACAGGGTTACTACCAGAAACTTTTCCGCTCTTGTTGTCATCCAGATGTTGTCTCCAGTTCTCAAAGCACCCACCGAGGCCACATGCCTGTCAGTGGCTGCCCTAGGAGTGCTGAGGCCGCGACCCCAGTCTTCAGTGGCCCAGGAGCACACGCCTTCCTGGTCCCCCTGTTTAAGCCTCTGCAGGTGGGCGGCAGCCACTGTGAGTGCGGGGGCAGGTTGAGTTCGAATCTATCCTGCGTGTGCGCATGTGTGAGCCCGAGAGGCAGCTGCGCCTCCAAAATGCGTGCAGGCAAGTTCAGTCCTGCAAGCACATTTCATGCCTCTGACCCACTTCCAATCTGTGATGGCTCAGGGTCTAAGGCAAGTTCAAAGCTAAGGGGTGGGGGAAGTAGAGCCGGCACAGCTGGAGGCTGTGCGGGTCGTGGATGTGCCACAAAGCCAGGGGAGGAAGAATTCCATCCACCAGGGCAAGCACAGAGCTGTTCTGCCCAAGGCAGAAGCAGGATTTGAACCCAGGAGATTGAATTCCATGGTGATGGGGTGTCAGAGTGCCATACATGCCTGCGCATGCATGCACACACGAGGGGGAACTATTTGGCTTCCTAGATTATCCACATACTTTCCCGACTCACCTCCACGAGTCACCTTGCCCTGTTGGCCTCTGCCTCTCTAGCCCGTCTGCAGGCTCCTGGACATTTCAGCTCTTACTATTCACATGCCCCTGGACGACTCCAGGGTCATCTTTCGCAGTTCACGTCCAGGGGCGCTTGGCAGTGGGGATGATCCTCTGGGTGACCTCGGGCACGGGGAGGAAGACACCAGGCAGTCCCCAGTAGAATCCCAATTTAGGCAACACTGTGATTTTTCTTCCAAACAATGTGCCCCACGTCAGCTGCCATTTCCGACACCTGTGCAGGACACCAACCCAAGGCTCCCCGCGCCCGGCTCTAGGACAGGCATGTGTCTGTGGGAGGGAGAGGGAGGAGGCGAGCAGGAACTAGGGCCCTTACCCCTCTCGGGCATGGGATTTCCTTCTCCCTGCAGCCACAGACCCGGCCCTGTGTTTACCCGGGGCACACTGGGGTCTGACAGCTGCCTGGCCCAGGGCCTTGCTCGCAGACGCGTGGACAGCCTGGCCTCCTGAACAGCAGCCTGCACTGTGTCTCCCTGTGCCATTACTCCCGCATATAAACCTCACTGAAAGGCAGGCTTTTCTGGGGGAAACTCATAAATAAGCCCCAAGCCACAACGTGGGTGAGACCTTGAAAAATGGCGTCGACATCTATCGGGGATTGTGAACCTTGCAAAAAGCAGTTCATTGTATTTGCAGAAGAAGGTTTTTGTTTAAAGAAATAATAAAGGACAAAACCCGCCAAGTGGAGTCTATGTGGAAAAAAAGCAAGCTGGGCTGGGCCTCCAGGGCTGGCCTCTTTGCCGTGCAGTCTTTCCTTGCAGGTTTTCTGTAAAGGGGCATTCTTTGCAGGGAAACGCTGAAGCTTCAGGGAAGGCAGGGAAGGCCCCTCCGGTGAGTGCTCCCATCTGCAGTCAACAACCTCTGATTGTGGTCTCTACAACAGATGGTCGGAATGGATGCTCAGCTCAAGTTGAGGGCCTTGGGGTGGCTTTTGCATTCTGGGAGTAGAAGGAGTCGCCAGCCGTACAGGGGAGAAAGGGAGAGGCAGCGCCAAGCGTCACCATTCACACCATGGAGCCGTCGAGCCATCGAGACCAGCACTTTACCTTAGCCAGTTTTGAGTTCCACTGCCTGAAGCTTTGAGGCTCTGGCTGTGGCAATGTCGTCAAGGGGCTGCAGGCTCTTTGCCTGTCCTTCTGATCTGTTAACTAAAGGCGGGTGTCTGTGTTTGTGTGGGTAGGAGGGGTGTGCTGCAAGCACCCTTCCCGCCCCAACCCTCTAGGGTGGGAAGTGTCTCTCTTTAACTCATTCCTGGCTGGAGCAGGCCGCCTCCTGGCCAATGCGACAGGCTCTGGCGCTTGGGGTCTCGCAGGCACCAACAAGAAGCCAGGCCAGCCTCCCAGGGATACAAAAATGCAACAGAGGGCGCCCAACATCCCCCGCCCCCGCCCGCGCCGTGGCCTTGAATCTCAAGGTATAGGATGGCTCCAGACCGCCAAGTTCCTTAAAAATGTCCCCGGTGCGTGGTCCCTGCCAGGCCGGAGGGCTTTCGGTTTGCCTGTTTGCAGCGCACCGCACCCCACCAGCCGCCTTTCCTAGGAAGGGGAGGGGGCGGGGTCCTGGCCTCGCATTCCATGCGCGGGACGCTGTGTGGCCGCGCGACACAGGCGGGGGGGCGGGTTCTCCTCGGACGCTGCGTTCGCCATCTGCACGTCACTCCCAAACTTTTCCAGCCTGCGCTCCGGGAGCAGGTTGACGCGCCTTGGATGCGGGGCTCCAGGCGCGGGGCTGGGCGCGCTCCCGCGGAGCCGGAGCCGCAGAGGCTCGCGGGCTGGAGTCGGGCTATCCAGGTACGCGTTGGGTGCCAGGTGCCGGGGCGGGGGTGGCGAGGGGCTGGCTTCGGGCTCGCGGGTCCCGGGCCCCTCCGGTTCCGGGGGAGCGGTGTGGCTGGCGGCCGGCGCAGCGAGTCCAGCGGAGACTGCGCGCAGCCTCACTTCCCGCGGCGCTGCCGGCGCGGCGGCAGAAGCAGCGGCGGCGACGGCGGCCCAGGCAGACAATGAACTTGCGAGCGCGCTGAGCCCGGCAGGTCTGGGCCCCGTGCCCCTCGGCCCGGCTTCCCCGAGGCTTTCGCCGTCCCCGGCGGCTGGAGTCCCCTCGCGGCGGGTCCAGGCCGAGTTCCGGGCGCCCAACGCGATTGGGGACCCTGCTGGAACGGCTGCCCGGAGGCGGCGCCGCCGCTGGGGCTCACACGCCCCCCTCCCAAGCCCTGGAGAACGCGGCCGGAGCTCGGGCACAGCGGGCCGGGCGATGGCGTGGTGGCGCTGTGGATAGCTGGAGACTGGCGAGGGACGCACGCCGCCGGCACGCACCGGCCCGCTGTCTCGCACAACAGCCCCGGGAGTCGCAATCCCGCGCCCCCGCACCACCCGGTCCCAGGAGCTGCAGGTGGGAGCCCGCAGACCCCGTTGTCTTCACCGTGTGGGAGAGAGATTCGCCTTGGTCGTGCGTCCTCACCCCCGCGCACTTCGGGGAAGTTCCCAGGCGTGGTTCCAGGCAGGTAGGGGGCATCTGGCACGCTCTTCCGGGGCGCGGGCTCAGTGCCGCCTCGGGAACCCTACCCCGGTCCTACGGCCTCCCTGGCAGGGAAGGAGAGGGGTCTGGGGTGCGCATGGCTGGGGGTCCGGTTCCGGGAGCGGAGCCCGGGGGGGACGAGGTGCGGCCGAGCCTGGAGCGCCCTGAACTTTTGCTCCCCGCCTCCTTGTCCACCCTCCTCCGGGTCCCCCATCCCAGTCCCCTCCTCGCGCCCCGCCGCGTCTCCTGAGGCAGCGAGACTCGGGAGTTGCACGCTTCTCCGAGGCGTCCCCAGGCTGCCTGGGCGCGGCGAGCCGAGCAAGGCAGGTCTGAACCGCGCTCGGGGGGGCGGCGCTGGGGAGGCGGGCTGTGGGTGGGGGAGCTGTGGGGAGTTGGGGCTGCGGCGGCCCCCGACCTGGCTGTGTGTGCCGGTGGAGAGGACGCAGGGGCTTGGGCGACGGGTGGCGATCGTGGTGCAGTTGGTCCGGGTGGGGCCCCCTGGAATCGCGGGTAGGCGGCCCCGGGGCGAAGGGAACCTGGCGCGGGGGGCAATGAATGGAGCGCTACGGCGGCGTCTCCGACTCCTCTGGGGAACCGATTGGCCGGCCCGTGCGCGCCTCTCTGCGTGCCGAGCCTTTGCAGCCGCCTGCCTCCAGGCAGCGCTGCGTGGCCACCCGGTCTCGGTCCCAGTGCCCACGCTGCCTGCTCGCTCTGCGCTCCGAGTCCCCGGCGGGGCGGCTGGAGCAGCACGTGTAGACGTGGACTCTGTGTTCCTGCTGGCCCCTGGAGGCTCCTGGAGCAGCACTCTCCCCGACCCTGCCGTCCCTGAATTCCTGCTGGTGGGCCCAAACCGCTGGGTCAGTTGGGTTTCTTGGGGTGCTGAGGTTTCAGGAATGAAGTTTTGGTTCTGGAAGCATCTCGCTGAGGCTGCACGTGGGGGCTCAGTCCCGTCTCCCAGTAGGGGTCCCTGAATGATGGGAAATACCTCTCAGGTGTGGGTTGGCACCCTCCCGAGGGCGCTGGAAGGAAACTGAGGCCTAGGGATTTGGGGCAGAATTTCTGTCGGTCCTTACACATTATTCATCTCCATCTCATCCCTTTCCTAGTTGCAGAAGCAGGACTCCTTCTTTTCAGAACGCTTATTAATTTTGCAAACTGTGTAGAACCAGGATCTCTTGATTGATAGGTGAAAGTGTCGAGAATATCTGCGACTTTGTTTCAAACAGCCAGGGACTGGAAACCCCTTTTAGTTGGATTGTTTTAAGAAAATGAGTTTCTCTCTGTGAGGCTCATCAGAGAGTTGGCAGAGGATTTTTTTTTTTTCTTTCCTAGTCACCTCCTGGCTGGGAGACTGAGCAGGTTCATTGACGTGGCCTGCCAGGCGTCTATCTGCCAGGTGAGCTGGGAGTGGAGCCCCCGGCCTGACTTGCCCTGCAAGGTTGCTGGCTGTTGGAGGGAGCAGGTGCCAGGGTCCCTGAAGGAGACGGGCAGTGTCTTTGCTGCTTGTGGGTTAATCCACCTGGGCCCTTGTACAGGGTGTGGGGAAGCAGGTGTGCCCTGCTTTGCTTCGATGATCAGAAGGCTGGTGCTGGAACCGTGGACCTGGCCAGGCGGTAGTGAGCAACCTGGGAGGAGAACAGTATGGAAGGAAAACAG